AAAGCATAATGCATTATGATTACTAATGTATTCCAGAGCAAAACAAATAATTAGCTGAATATATAAGAGGAAGATAATTTTTGGGGGGTGGGTGGGGTGAGAGGTTTGATTTAATTTTTTTGTTACTAAGTTTTTTTCCTATTACATTGGTTTTTGAAATAAAGAAATCTACACTGTTTGAGGTATAATTTCAAATTAGACAAGTCCTACTGTACTGTCATTGAAAATACCAGAATTAAATCCTTAATATTTGGATATCAGTTTAAAAACTGAGGCATATGTGTTTATCAGTATACATTGCACATAAATTGCTTTGTCCCAGTTTGTTTAAAAATAAATTATATTTCATGCAAGTACAATAATTCTGGGACATTATCACGGATCTTAGAGAGGCTATAGTATTTCTCTGGTTTTATTGCTGACTTCGAATATTTGGATGCACTATGTTAATTTGAAAAAAAAAAAAAAGTTATTTAAGTGCAACATATTTAGTCTCTGATTTAGAAACACACACTATACCTTCTGTGGGGGAAAAAGTCTGCAAGTTTTTCAAAGCATCACTATAGTTGGGCAACAATTGAGAAATCTTAGTGTATTCTTCTCTGTGTATCTTCATTTAGAGTGGGATTCAGCTTGGTTTGGTGTATGGATTTGGTTTTCTCGTTTTACGTTTGAGGAAATGGGGCTGCAGCCAGAATATAACAACTCAGAAGAATGCTTGACATATACACAGCTTACCTGAAACAAACCACTATGAACAGGATGGTACATTTGCATCTAGAGCAGCACAAGTGCTCATCTGTGCCTTCTCTGAAAAGAGCCTCTTGCAGCTGCTCCTGGCCTAACTTGCCCAGATGGCTTTTTGTGTGCAAATCTGCTATTTAATGCCAACATCACTGTGCCACCTTTTGACTTGAGGTAACAAGCCTGAGAGCTCTCCTTGAGGATATCTCACACTAAAAGAGACTGAAGTTGCATGACAGTTCTGACCCAGAGCACTGGTTTGACAGTGTGTGAGCAGTGAGGTGCACGAGAGGCTGGGTGGTTGAAGATGCTCTGCTGGCCAGTGGATGAAATGAGGGAAGCCCACAAGGCTGCAGTAAGGAATTTTTTTGAAGGGTCAGTGTCTAAGGTACTCCACTTCAGACAGTCATTTAGAATATATCTCTCTAGGAGTGATATAATAGGCTCAGGAACTGTTTATTTGAAAGAGGCCTGTAGGACAACTAGAATCTGCATAAAGATTAATTCTTCAAAACATCTTACTAGACCACTCTAGTTTATATATAAAATAAAAAAATCTGTAGGATAGCCTTGGATTTTTCACTCTAGCAGTATACAAAACATTTTTTAATCACTTCCACTATTCCAGAGGTGTGCTGGATTTTGATGTAAGGTCTTGGGCTGTAATAGTAACGGGGAGTAATTTGTTCTAATGAAAGTATCTCGGTCAGATTGCTGGTTTCAAATGGGAAGACAGGTTCTTGCCTTTTCTTTCAGAAATACAGATTTGTTCTTGTACAAGTAGGATGTTCTGTTGTGACTTAAATTTTACTGAGAAGCTTAGAGTTTCTTTCATTTTAGCGGTACCAAGTGCCTTTATCAGTTATACTCAGTATTCAAATGCTGCCTCTTTTTGAAATGGAAGGTGAAGTTTACATAGTTATGAGTGCAAGAAAACAGTGACCATCAGGTTGAAAAGGTTTGAACCTTCGTTCACTGCAGAATTTAAGATGCATAGTCAAATCAGTGTAACATACTGGCCTGCAAAATTGTCTGATTTTATCCACAAAATAGATTTTTACCCCATTTTCCCAGATAGTCACAGTGCACCCTGTGCTGCGATTTTTTTGTGAGCGATCCCAGAACTGCAGTGGAATGAGTTAAAATGTCATAAAAAAGACCACACAAGAGCTTCTTACTGAGTCCTAGGTCTACAGTTTGAAATGCAGGTGTAATTTAAGCAAGAAGAAAAAGTTGAGTTTGTTTAAGCCCCTCAAGGTTTTTATAAGGAAACCTTTTTAGACTGAGCAGATGAAAACTGCAAGCAATCAATAAATAATTACTAAAAACTTTCCTTCTATAAGGAGGCATAAATTCTGTGTTGAAAGTTATATTTTTTTGTGATAGGTAGAATTTTGCAGCGAAGAAATGAATGAATAACTTATACTTTTGTTACATAAACAGTTCCAAGAAAGTTTCACAAAACAGCAGATGCATTGCAAAAACTTTGTCTTGGAAAATTACGTTTGCCAACTTTACTTAGCTCTTCATGTTTAGAGGAATGATCTAAGTAGTACCTTCCACAGCAAGGTTGGGAACCTTTGCAATCAAGTAGTTTACATTTCAAATGTGCTAAAATGAGCAGAGAACACCGTATTTTAGTCTACATGAGCCTGTGCTACACGGATATGATGTTGACTGGGTAGACCCAGTGGTAAATCTAGCATGCAGTTAGCTAGTCTGCTGTCTTTTGCATGCATGTGCATACAAGCAGACGTACATATGCACACACACACAACCTCAGTGAATTGTTTCTTGAGGAACCTGGCTCAGTACCTGTTACTTGTAAGTCCTTGCATTTGTGCTAAGATTTGCATTTAGTCAAGGAAAGAAAGATTTTGACTGTTGCTACATTTTATTAGATTTTAAAAAATAATTTACATTTTGTCTCAATCTTGTTATCTTCCACTTTTTTAATTATATAAAATGGTGAATTATGATACTCTATTAACTGTCATAAAAAGCATAATGCACCATTACCCATTACCTCCTGTAGTGTATATTTATGAGTATGGCAGTGGCTTACATAGATGTATACATATTATTATACACATTACGTATTATAAACTAATCATTGATCATGATACAAATCAGTATTGCTAACTTAACCTCCTTATGCACAATTTTTATATAGGTAAAGTGTATTAGCCAATTAAACAGAAGTGTAAATATAGATATTTGCTGTTTATACTTATAATGGAATTTTTTGTAAGGAAGTAGGCTGTTAAATCATGTTGCCGTAACAAATGCTGAAGGCTGCTTTTTCATTCATTGCCATTGAATTTATTGTCAGACCAGTGCAGTCATATCCCATTTCAAGATTACTTAGGAGGCTTGAAAATTAAATCACAGCTCAGAGATTCTCGTTTTTCACACATGGTTAATAATAGTAAAATTGGGTCTAGTTTTAAATATACTTTCCAAGATATTGCAGTGCAGTTAGATGCACAAGCTATGAAAGACTTAGTAAATAGAATGTGATTTTCCATAAATTAACAATGAATTGGATAAAACAATGTTGTCAGTGTATGTAGAATTATTTTCAAACGAATTATATAAATTTTGTCAAAGTCAGAAATGAGGGATTTTATAAAGTTCTCTTTTTTTTTTTTTTTTTAAGTTAATCTGAAAGATGTTCTGGAGTGATTACTAATAATTGGAAATAAGAACTCATGCTAGATTATGTTTTAGGGAAAGAATACGTGAAAAACATGACTGGTTATGTCTAATCAACTAAATGATTCTTGCTTGCTCACTTCATCTGAACTAGAGCTCTTATTTCTATGCACCATTTTCAGTGTTTCTCCTAAAAGCAAGACATTGTGAAACTTTACTTCTACTGTTAGGGGTTGGATTGCTTTTGATGTGCTTTTGGAGTGAAGCTCCTGATTTGGGTTTAGCATAATGAAATCTAGTTAGCCACAGTAGAACTGTTCTGCAAACAGGCTGAATATTACTATAGACAGCCTATATGCACCTGATTATATTCTAAATTTTATTCACATTCTCAGCAGTCCTCTTCATGTAATTTCTTATATTCCTCGTATTGTCTATAGATGGTTGCATCTCTGAATGCCTCCAAAAGAAGATCTGATTTAATAGTTTTAAGATACCATGGTAGATAGGTCACTTTGAAGGCCTTCAGACATTTATGAACCATGTGTGTGGTAGGTATGTGTGGTCCAGGGTATCAAACTATTGTCTAAAGTGAAACCTTCAAACTGCACATGGTGTAGATATAGCAATAACAGCTTTAATATATTGATTATCTCCTATTGTGCTGCATTATTTCTTAATGGCATATAGCATAAATGAAAATCCCTGGTTTCTAGTTTGGTTTTGTTTTCCTTTTTTTTTTTTTGCTGTCTCCTCTGCTACTGTCTTTACTTCAGTTCTCTAGATTTTATTTCCAATATGGAACTGTGAAGGCCAAAAATATTTCTAAATTTCAGAAAAATATATTTAGCAAAAATATTATGTTTAGATATAATTATATTTATATTATATTTATATCTACCACCGCATATTATATTTATATATATTACTGATATGTATCTATTACTGAATAAGAATTTTGTACTGAATAAGAATTTTAGAAGCATTATAATAAAATTTCTCTTTTGGAAAGATGCTAGTTTCAGATTGTGTGGTAGAGCTAGTCATGCAGGGATTTTGGAGAGGAGCATTAGATATCTGCTACAAGATGGTTTTTAACACCTTCTTTTAAAATATATGGTGCTTGCCACTCTGAAACAAAGTCAGAAATATATTGGTCTCAGATGTTACACGGCTTAATCATTATTTCTCAATAGCTCACTACTTGTTCTTTTTGCTGGTTTTGAGTCTTCCTTGCATAAAGCTGAACATAGTATCAAACTTTTGATGTCATTGGTTTGAAATGGGTGGAAAAGTGAAATCACTCAGTTGAAAATTAAATCAGTTTGTCCTTCACTGTTAAATTATGTAACGCTTCTGCCTTTTGTCTGGCATATATGGTGTGTTTTGTAAAGGAGTTACTTAGTGCAACACAGATAAACTAATTTGACTATTATTGCTTCTTCTTTTTCTTCAATTACATGTCAGCTAAGGTAATAAAATAAACTTCATTGGAAAAATTGACTAAACTGTAATGGCTGAAATTATTTTTTTATCTGTTCTTTTGTTATACACAGAGAAATATGTAAGACAGACTTTAACTTTCTTTTTTTTTTCCTTAGTGATCTTAGTGAAAATCAGATTCAAGCGATACCAAGGAAGGCATTCCGAGGAGCAGTAGACATAAAAAATCTGTAAGTATTTTCCTCCTCCTTGTATATATTCTGATGATAATGCTTTGTCAATACAGTGTCCTTTTATTGTATCATATAGCTTTTTCCTAAGCACTTTTATAGATGATTAAGGAATCTTTAAGGAATAAAACCAACACTTACCATTTGTTTTGGCAAAATACTTTAACATATTTTAAGCATCCTAAAATTGCCATATATGAAATTTAAAACATTGAGATGGAGTTGAATACAACAAGGCATTATAACTATTTGTTTATGGTAACCTGAGTTTAATATTTGAATGTCAGGCTATTTTAAATATGTCATTGTTTCAAGTGGAAAAAATATTTTTGCCTTGGTTCTAAGAGTTTGACTTTTGTTTGCTTGTATGAAAGAAAAGTCGTGCTATTATTTAGTTCTGATAGCATTTTTTTTTTGTACTTGTGTGACAGTGTTCTGTGGTAAAACAAGTCTTTTCTAAAGGACAGATACTTTCCTGGAGATAGTGACCCTGAAGTTCATGGGCAGGTTTTGAATTCTTATGGCTTCTAAATGTGGAAATATGTGAGTTTCAAGAGAAAGGAAAGCAGTGACTTTTAAACTTTCTGTTTAGAGTGTTAGGTCAATTTACTGCACTGAAAGACCTGAATGCCTGGAAGACTGTGATGAACTTGTATAGTAGGAAATGTAATTTCATGCACTCAAAACCTATAACCCCTGCTGTAAGCTGAGGACTTATCACTTATAAACAACCAACAAAGACAGAGGACATACACCAGTGGGTTCCAGAAAGACTATGGAGCTGCCAGTGTAATGCAGCTGTGAAAAAATCTAATTGCTATCGTGGCATCAATAAAAATAGGGAAGTATTAGACCATTATATGAGGTTTTCAAGTAATTGCTATTGAAATGCTTTTTATTCATTGAAGTTGCTAGTGCTAAAAGAAAGATGAACCTTCTAGTTGTACTACTTTGAAAATGGAGTGTGCTGTGGTTATGAAAGGGATGATGTGATGTTGTATCCCCAGTGAGAGGGGACTGGACAGGAAGCCCATTGAATTTCTGTCTCCCTATGATGGACACCACTTCATTCTTCTGCCCACAGCACTGCACACAAATTGGTTAGGAAGACTTTTTTTTTTCAAAGATTTAGCAGAATGCCCAAGAGTTTGGCCTACTTGATTTGATATTTACAAATTGTGGGGTTTTTTTTTAATTTAACCATGTTTGTGATAACTGTTCTTCCCCACAGTGAAACCCTTGCACAACGCAGTGGAAAAACTATTCTGTTCAAATCTATTATGTTCAAAAACATACAAGCATTTCTCAGAGTAGTTTTGTTGCTTTTTAATCGATGTTTTATGAGTTTCTATTCAGAACTGGTCTCATCACTAGCCATGGTCTAAAAGAGGCTTGACTACAAGGAGAAGCCTGCATTTTTCTGCATGATCTTTTAAATTCAAAAATTGATACAGCTACAGAAAGGAACTTTGGTAGTAAAAGAAACAGCATAATTGAGAATTTTCTAGTGGTGGGGCAGTATTTTAGAATGCAATAAGTATACTTATATATTGAGAGATAGATCCAGTCAGAAACTGATCTAGCATGCTAATCTTTACCTATGATAATATTTATATCTTGGTGAATATTTTCAAGTTAAGGATCCTGAATTATGTCCTAAAATGCATAAAACAGTAGATCCACCCTTTAGAGCCTTTCTCTTTGGGCAGATAATTAAAAAAAAAGACAACAAAACCCAAACAAACCCAAAACATAAAGGCCACAGCATTTCCACAAAGTCCAAATTGTCTCTTCCCAAGTAACAAGTGATAGGATAAGAGTAAAAGGCCTCAAGCTGAACGAGGGGAGGTTTAGATTGGGTATTGGGAAAAATTTCTTCACTGAAATAGTTATCAAGCACTGGAACAGGCTGTGCAGGAAAGTGGTCGAGTCACCATCCCTGGAGGTGTTTAAAAGGTGTAGATGTAGCACTTAAGGACATGGTTTAGTGGTAGACTCAGCAGTGTTAGTTTTCTGATTGGATTCAATGATCTTAAAGGTCTTTTACAACTTAAATGATTCTGTGATTCTATGGAGGAATTTAGCATCTATTGGGTGATAAACCTAATGTCCAGGAACCAAATATTTGTATATAGTTACAGAGAACTGTCATAAACAGAATTGAATATTTGTTCTAATTTTGGCAATTCTTCTGTAATTGCCCAGTAGTTGAGCATAATGTTAAAGATGTTAACCAAACTTATGGAAGAGATAGGTGAAGGTAAAAAGAGTAAAGGAACCTGTATTACAACATGTTGGAAATTCAAGATTTGCTTTGTGTAACAATATTAATTACAGCAATTTCAAAATAGAGATTTTTTTGTTTTATTTTTGTTTTAATGCAGTTATTGGCAACCATCCCATACAGTAGCTCTAGTAAGCTGTTTCAAAGGCAGGTTACAAATCTCACAGAATTTGACCTGATTATATATTTTATGTTCCTGAATGGAGACTCACCATTCTCTTACTCCCCCTAAATACTTCCCCATCTGAATCAGGAGCTGGAAAACATCTCATTTGTATGTTCTTCTAGACTTTGCAGAGCAAACGGAATTAGATGTTAACTCATATTATCTGAAGGAAATTGCTTAAATTGCTTCCTTTAAAGTTGATGATACCATGATGATCTTTTGATTTCCTTCTAACAAGTTAGCTCTAGAATCATCTTGATGTTTCTCAGAAGATTCTGTCTAGTTTCCATGAAATGTGGCCATATTTCCTTTCTGGACATCTAGTTAATAACCTTCACAGAATAGTTTCTGTAGAAGATAAAAGCAAAATGGGCAAGGCATTATGAGAATTGACAACCTGGGCAACCTGCCACAACCTCATAGTAAGAAGAACAAAAAAACCCTGAAAAACCATCAGGCCTCACAAACCTACTTTATATTGAATGGGAATTTCCCTTTTGCCAACTTGTTTCTTGCCTCTCATATCTGAGCAGAGTCTAGCTCTGTCTATACCCTCTCTTTAGGCAGTTGTAGGCACGAAAGCAGATCCCCCCTTTGCCCTTTCTTCTTAAGGCTGAACAAATGCAGTTCTTACAGACTCTCCCCAGATGTCACCTACTCCAGCACTCCCATATTGGTGGCCCTGGTTGGACTCAGCACAGTGTGTCAATGTCTGTCCCCTACTGGGGAGGCTGAAACTGGATGCACTGCTTAGATGTCTTCTAACACATGCTAGACAGAGCATCCTGGCTTCATTCTTGCCAGTACAGCCTATTGTTGGTAATGAATCTCATTCTTTAAAAAAAGTGCCCAAAAATGAGGTAAGCTTATTTTGTACAGGTTTCTTGGACTGGAAGCCCAGTATCCAGTATTTGGTAGTTCAAATGTGGGAAAAAATCTAGCCACTCTGTCTCAAAGTCTTGATTTTCCTGTTCAAGGGCAATGACTTCAAGAATAATCCACTTTTAGTACAGCTGCTGATCTGAGACTTGACAGAAATTAAGGTGCAAATTCTGGAAATATGATTCTGAAAGTTACTCCTAACTTGCCATGTTTTCAGGGAGAAGAATATACACCAAGAAGTTAGGTTCAGAGAACACAGTGGCACCCACTATTTTCAAAAAATAAATAGAAATTATCATATACATATTTTAATATTCATGTTAATGATGGTCTCATAACCCTCCTTGGTGATACACTGGATGTGGAAGATGTTTAACATCTCTCCAACCTCAGGCTTCTTATTTGTATTTAAGATGGTAAGAAAATGCTTTAGCTGCCCAGATTATCAATTTGGATGGGTTGTTTTTTGAATCTGGTTACTAGGAAGAAAATAAGTGGTCTTAAAAAGCAAACAAATATGGAACACCACAGAAAGAACAATAGTGCCATGCTCAGTTTTTAAGAAGTAGATTTCGGTCCCTGGTCCGATGATTTTGATAAAATTACATAATGACATTTCCATTTGAAGTATGTAAAATTTTCTAAGTTTTCAACCTTTTTGTCCACTCTGAAATTGATATTTGGCAGAGGATAGAAATGAATACACCAACATCATAGCAGAACTGTGATACTAAATATGTGCAACATCAAATGATACCCAAAATACCAAGAAATATTTTCATATCTCCTGCCCTGTTTTTCTTGCAGTCTAGCCTTGCTTTCAACTACTTTCTTCTTTGGTGCCTTTGTGTTCATTTGATTCCATTTTTTTCCCAACAAGTTGGGGGACACTGTAACTGTCACCCCAAGAATAAAGGCTGCAGGGCAATATAGTAGCTTCACAGATTAAATTGGCTAGGAAACTGGAGAATTAGTGAAGAGAGAGACAAAAACCAGCATCCAATCAAAGTCCTTCCAATTACACTAACCTTTCTCCTAAACCTTGATTAATATTACTTGCTGTTGCCCTGATGCCTCTTTTATGCTGATTGTGAAAGATTTTAAACTGGCATTGTCACTAAAGGCATAACTAAGTTTTGTATGAATAGTTGTTGGCAACAACTGGACATTTTTTAAGTACAATTTTATTAGCAGTCAAAAAAATAGAGTCCTGCTGAAGATATTCTAGTTACTGATTTCAGCTTAGATCATGCACAAAATTCCACTGCAACTGGAAATATATTTGTCTACTCATCTGTACAAGTGCTGATCCCAATGCACTGCTTGTCTAAGACATGCTTTAATAATTTAGAATTGGCATATTTCTCATGCTTGTTCTTTCTCGGAATCTTAATTCAACCACTGGTCTGTTCAGCCACCTGCCTTTCAGGTATACATCAAGCAGGATATTTTAGAGGATGTTTGTGAAATATATTCATTTTTTTTATTAAAGTCAAAAATAGCTCTGAAGAAATGAAGAAAAGAATAGGTACATTTTTCTGGCGCCTATTAAAACTCTTGTTGCCAAACAGGTCACTGACCTTTTGGCCTTAGGGGAAAAAAAGTTGTTCTTTCTGACTAAATAAATAGCATTTCATTACTATTTTTAAAGTAGTTTTTTTCATTACA